CAAAAGGCACTTGTCGCTCAAGCTTCACACTGCTATAGCCTGGATCCCAAAATATGCGCAGCAAAGAATTGTTTTCACAAGAATGTAATCTGCTGTATCTAATGTTCTGCAGAACACACTCCTGCCTGTAATGTGGCACAATGGACAGTTGCTTGGTTTCAGTCTCAGGTACTTCTTTCGATCCATACTCCTTGCAAGAATCGTCAAAGCCGACAAACAAGCAACAAGTGCAACTATCTCTCAAACCGTTGATCCCACCTCAAAAATTCTTCGATTGTTCCATATTGTTCTCACCTGCTGGAATCTCTACGATATCTGCAAATATTGCCTTTCACTTGTACAATTTGGACATTGGTCACTGAGACAGCATTTCTACGACGCCATGAAGCTACTTGAGCAAGAGGTGCTATGAATGGTGCCAGCATTGGACACTTTGTGTCATGTACAAATTGGACAGTGTTGCATGGAGGTGTTGCAATTGGTCAGCCAATATCATGATGACTGGTGTTGCTGCGCTGCTGCAGTCCTGGGGCAGGGTGGAAAGTATGTCAAAAACAGACTTCGTCGTAGACTCAGGTATGAGGAACGTCATCGCCGGATGATTCCCTGGTTCTTCCAATATATAATGTATGCCGCATATGCCTGCTGGACAGGTCACTCGTGGAGACTGACAAGTCAGGTCACTTTCCGAAGCTGATCATCATGAAGACTTGCTCCACTCATGTGACTCATGTCCCAAGCGAACTTCATCGAACTGTGCTTCAATGAGTTTTCTTCAATCTGTTCCTTGCATCACAAGAGTCAAAGTCGTCCGACCAACACGGACGACTTTTAGAATGAGCGAATGGGCAACACGTGTACGAACACATCGGAAGTGGAGTCCACACAAGCTTTCGTACAGGAAAGTTGGTCTTCCTTTCGGGACCATCCACATCTATCCTCTCATCCACGTTCCCATGCTAGTGAGTCAGAGTGATGTCTTAGTGATTCCTTTGTGTACCGTGTACGTCAAATCTTCCATTGATTTTGATCTTTAGACCCAACTGCGGGACATGAGTTCCACCCAATGACTCAAGGACAGTTTTTTGCGCTGACTTTCAAGCGAGACAAACTTGTCACTCTTGAAAAACTACTATTCTGCGGACCCATGATGAGCTTGGCATGTGGCTACAACTGCTTGCAGGCTACCCTACTGTTCAAATAGGTGCTGAGGTCGTTTCTATTCTATCCTATTCAGTGCAGCAAGACTAAAACCAAAGGAGACATGTAAAACAATATACCAGCAAAAGTGTCCGTGTCATCCTCCATGTAAAAGGGTTGTTGTTGAGTGACAATTTGTCCAACCAGCGGTCCTGCAGCTCTTTCTTCACCGCAGCCTCGCCTGCAATGACTGACCATATTTATCATATTTAAGCAACATATGTTTGCTGACTTATGCTGACTTATTGTTGATGAGCGTAGTGTTCATCTTCAAAAATTCGCAATGTTCAAGGCGCCCAAACATCATGGCATAATTAGAACTTTCAAAGTCTCAAGATCTCGAGCTTCCCCTTATCCACTACCAGCAGTGGCTGTGCCTGATACCACCAACTGGTTTCAGATGCTCACTTTCCGTTTGCACTAGTTTGTTAGCAAGATTCAGTTCCCTCGTGCCTTGAGGAGCAGTGCTTTGAGCTTCTTTGAGACGCTCCTGCACTTGTTCCTCTGCTGCTTTCTTGTCCTTATAGCGGGGCCAACCTGATAAAGTCCCATGAGGATCCATGAGTAGCTTGCTTGATTCTACTGCTCGAGAAGTCTACCTGTCTGCTAAGCGTCTGAGTTCATGTCCAATTCTTGTTGCATTCCTGTTTTAACCACCCAGGGCCTCCATCGGTCTCCATCATCGCAGTCCACACAACCAACGCCTGATGCTGTCAAGTGGCAAAGGCGTGTTTCTCAGTGTCGAAACAACCAGTGATTCGAAGGCCACCGAGCTCCTTCAGGAGCGAAGTGAGCAAACTGCCATCCCGCGAGCATGAGGTTTCTGATGTAGTTGTTGAATCCAAAGGAAAATATGAAGCACATGTTTAAGTCATTTATATACATAATTACATAATAAATCATATGTATATGGATGAATTGGATGATCCATGCACATCATGTTTCCGATGCTTGGTATCGCACAATCAAACCCACAAGCATTCCACAACCACGTATATACACGTCGAATCGAACCATATACTTATAACCAGCAAACTTTGTTGTTTATTGAACCAATGGCTGAACTGCTGGGCAATAACAATGACAATGTGATGTCCTTGGTACCGTAGTCGCATTTCGGCGCGCATGCTATACAGTCCTCGCGCCAAAAGTTGTCCATCTACAAACTATACAATCTATATAAAGGATTTAAACTGGAACAAAATCGGAGACCTCAGCACCAGCATAGCCCCTCCAGTCGCTGCTTTCATCTAAACTGGTCTTTATGGTTATTGCAAAGAAGACTACATCAAAATCAGCAAAGAAATCCTCAAAATTATGTATTATATAGATTATAACTAAGACAGTGTCAACAACGACAAACAAAATCAACGTTGACTTTTGAAGGTCCTCTTGGCTCTGATCATGCTGTGAGCATTGTCGGCACTTGAGTTGCTTGAAAGTCTCAACCTGCCTCGGCATCATGGGAGCCTGGTTGGCCGAAACCATCAGCCTTTGCTCCATGTTTATTGTATAAATAACTACTATATGCAATGCAATGTTCGGACAATCTGAAGTGAAGTCCACCAGCAAGCAGCTAGCAACTGCTAGCTTCTAGCCGACCACACGGTTCGACAAAGCTACCTGGGCTAATCATTCTGCTTCAAATCGTCCGTTGGAGCTGTTGTCAGCATCAAAAGTCCGGTACCAGTTCAGTACTTGCAATCTTTTGCACAGCACCAAATCGCACGCGGCATTGGGTCACTGACTTGTCAGTTTCAAGGCCCAACAAGGAAACAAGGCCGGTCAGCTAGCCCAGGCATGATACCCAAACACCATTGTTGTACCTGAACTGAACCCCTGCTGCACTGTAGATACAACCTCAATCGCAAAGGTTGATTCTCGAGGGTTGAGAATGCTGAGACAGGTAGAGAGAACATCATTATAAAAAAGAAGCCTCAAGGCCCAAAGGTCAAGCTTCCCTAAACATCACGCGAAGGGTTCTTCCAGGAAGCTCTCTCATGCCTGAGGGCGGGAGCATCCTATTCATCTCTTCTTCGTCCCTGTCGCCTAGAAGCTACGTCCCGCTACTGCTGATAATCTCTACTGTACATCTTCTCACGGCATAGTGACCCTGTCAAGAAAAGTCTAAAGCACTTAAAACGAAAGGGTCCTAGCAAGCAAACACCCGACAATGGATAGCCTTGGGACCACACCAAGTTGCTGTGGTGAGATCTGCACCTTGCTTCACCTGGACATGCTTGCAAAGCAAAGCTCAAAAGCTCCAACATCAGGTAGGGCGGGAATTATGCTTACTGTGTCATTATAGATTTAACAGCAAACCGAAGCTTTGACAAAACCATGGTACGTCTCAATATCCTGCTACCTCAGGACTCAGGATGCTAAATTCTAGATCTGCTCAACAGTGTTTAATAGCAAAGAAACAGGATGAGCAGTTGATCCTACATTTGTACCATCCATGCCGGGTTATTGAGCAGGACCTCATGGCATGAAGTGAACAAGCTCCAGTCACCTAATTTGTTTGCCATCAGAACCCTCTATTCTGGAGCTTGTTCTCGAGCCAGAATAACTCTAACCGTTTGCTTGAAGGGTCGGCCATGGTCAGGCCTCCGCAACACAGCGAACCACCATGCCTGTACAAAGTTTGACTTCACCACTTGAACTTGACCAGCGCTGAAGGTCTGAAGTTTTTTTTTCTCCAGTGACACTCTCCACCAAAACAACACGGCAGCTCATGGTCGAATTTGAATTTGGTGGCTGGTCTGCCACCTATGAAAATCTCAATGCCAAAAACTCATCGGCGTCTCGTGCCAAGCGAACATCATGTCAGTTCGGGCAAGAAGACATGCTTAGCACTCGCTTGGTTTTGGAAATATCGCCCCTGGGCGAACAAGAACAAGGTTGAGAAGCAACTCCCTTCAAATGCCTTGCCCACTTCTTACATGACGAAGTATGACAATTCATGGATGTCCGATCAACATCTTGTGCCCAGGGATGGTTCACTCTGGCAAGAACTCCAGCTGTATCCAGCATTTGCGGAATTTAAAACCGAGGCCATCCTGCAACGCAATCTTTGAAGCAAAAGGACTGGTAGGACTAGGCTGATCTCAGCTGAATTGATCTGATTACTTGCATGTTTTTGTGACTTGTATGTTGACAAACAAGCAATGACATATACATAAATACATATATATATATATGATTCTTACTATATATATAATATGCATACTCATGCATGTTATGTGTTATGTATGAGCGTCTGCAAGTAGATGACACGATTCAGCAAGGTTACAGCTTTAAAACAAAAAAAAACATCGCTTTTGCAGCTTTTAGCCACAATGTTCACATAGCTGAACAATGCTGAACATATCCACAAACTGCGGGGATATGGTTATCGTTATTGAGGGGGGGCCTATCACTTTTGCAGGTTTTAGCAAAATTCCTGAAGTTCACTACCACTCTTTACCAAAATTAGTCATCTCACGTTTTGGCGGTTGCTTGTATATAGCTATGTATAAATATACATATACATATATACGGTGCGGGTAATTTAGGATGGCCCTCCGCACAAACACCCACCAGAATCTCACCAGAACATGGAGATGGAAACGGCCCCACTAAAGGTTATTCACGTGTTCACACTTTACTGCCGATTTCCAACTCCACATAGAGAGCGTTTTCCGGTGAGATCATCAATTTTGCTTGAGCAGAAGGTCAGAAGGTTCTTCGTCTGACACCCTTCAGAGCACCTGTATGCAAAGCTGAAACAGATTTGGCTTTGAGGCAATTCAAACCTGAGGGTGCAGCAACAAAGACCCTTTTTTTTGTCGTGGGCCACGTGGCAACGTGGCCTTCAGCCAACGCCGCTCATTGAAATCCTCTCATTGCAAGTCCTGCGTCCAGCCAATCAGCTGCACTCCTTGAAGCAAACATGCGACTCTCCGTGGCTGGTGTCATGTGTAAGCCCTGTTGGCAGTACCAGAAGGTTCCTTAATAAATTTCAAGCATTTTTGGCCTCCGTGGATTCTTGAATGAGCATCCAAAGTGTAACTACACCCTCGACTAAAAGCACCAGGCAAGTTAGAGGAGTCGGCGCTACAACTACTCCGAACATTACAATGATTGCCTAGCCAAACAATTCCCACCAAATCTACACATCATCACAACCCCCAAGCAAACGCAATAAGTTGTGGCAAATAGCCGCAAATCACTAGAGATGAGGCAACGTTCCAAAGCACATTGCAAAATCAAGAATATCGACTTGAACCTACAAACCAAATCTGCCAATGTGTACTATCAATCTGCAAATTGCAACTTCAGTCTCAATATTACGATGCACGTGCGCTCAATCCTTTCTACATTTTGAGCAGTTCACGCTTTGGACACACTAAACATTTGAAGAAACAAATAAGTCTTGAGAGCTTGTTTGCAGTCAAGCATCTTCCACTTAATTTGAACGTCTTCATCCACTGGTATTTGATCTGGAAGAAAGTCTCGCTTCCCTGGAGGACACTGAAAACACTTAAACACAAACCAAGCGTAAAAGGCGGACAAACATATGTTCTGAAAATTTGCCAGGTATGCCTATGATGCATCAATGCATATCATATACATGTTCTGGAACCTACCCCACCAAGCATTGCAACGCTGCCTTGAAATAGTGCGGGTCATGTTCATATCACTTTATCAACAAACGATCATTCTAAATATGTTCATATGCATGACCGTTCTTCTTAGTCCAAGCGACAGCCTGTTTTCATTCCCTTTTTGAGACCCAACCTATGCGACTGCCTGACATCTCGGATGATTTTATGATGTTTGTTCTTGTCTTGACTTTTGATATGCTTCGCCTTCGAGTGGGGCTACGTGTTGCACGCGGTGTCCTCCATGCCTGAAAGATTGTTGTTCCCTGGTTCTTGTTCAATGCTCTCCTTTCACTCTCAGCCATTATTACTTTTCCTGCTTCGAGAACATCGATGCTTTAAACTTTGTTTGGACTTTGCCCTGGATTGTATAATTCACTCAGCCATCGATCGCCTGTCTGACTTTGTGTCCAACTATGTCGTCATGGCCTCGCGTGGCCCATTGAACTGCCAAGGAGGTCCCCATGAGTGTTGCGATCAATCGGGGTTGAGCCACTTTTCCTCACTAACTATTCAGTATCCTGTCCCTGCACATTCTTTGCGAAGCGTAGCAGGGCGGGGCCCAGTGTTGCTAATGATGTGCGAAGGAGCGGCCAAATGCTTTTTGTATCGTTTTGTTGTTCTCTCCCCGTTCGACCAAACACATTGCAAACACACTGCAGCACGTTCTTCTGCCCAGTCTGGATCAAGCCATTTGCTTTCTTCCTTTTGAGTGCGTGTGTCCACAAAATTGACTATTGCTTTTCTTGTCGCATAATTGGCCTGCAACCCAACAGGGGAGAAGAACGCGGGCTTCGGGAACGGCAAACAAAATGAGTGAATCAGTCCACGCAAAAGCGTACGTTGACAGAATTGTTTTGAATGTCTAAACTTTAAAAAACACACACACAACACATCGTGAAACCAAAGTTGCCAAGGAGATTCTTAAGGGGGGGGCTGGAAACCTGCGATTTGAGCACAGTTGTGGACAGAATGAGGACCCAATTTTTGTGCGGGCTGCGCAATTGCTTCGCCTTTGATGAGATTGTTGATTTCTTGGCTTCCACAAGAGTCTGAGTTGAGAATCAAAAAGCAATTTCAGGCAAAATGAGAAATCACTGAATCTACTGTCCATTCAGTTGCTTTGGACTTGGACCATAGAAAACTGCCCCTAAATATAAAACTTGTCATGCACAACAAATGATGGTTTGGAAAAGTGTCCTCTCCAATGGTTCCTCTTGCTGTCAAGGTCTATCATCATAGTCTATCGTAATTCTGAATGAAAATCGACCAGGTACAGGCCAGCGAGTGACATAAAAGCGAAAGAGTCAAATTGTTGAAAGACACCTTTAAAGTTCTAGATGCGAAATGGGAAGGTGCAAAAGCTTGTCTCCAGCTCTCCCCTGATAATCTGCAATTGTTTCCTTTGAAGTTTTTGGGTACCGTAGTGACCCTTTACAACATGGCAGTGCTAACATTGCTTTTCAACTCATTAAGTGAGGCCACATGCAAAAAGGGCGTCCCATGCGACAAAGGATGTGTCAACAGAGAATGCCACAGGATCTTATCACGACCTATTGCTCAAGCATCCATTTACAGTACCTTTTTTACTCGTGCGATCTTCTTGTGGTCCAGCCGGCCACAACCTGCGACTTCGGCGCATGTCTAGTAGAGCATGCCATGCATTGCCATGCGTGAACCTGGAATCTATGAGAGCATGTTAACATGTCTGTGTTTCGTTCAACAATTCTAGAGTCACCTGCCTTCAATGTACCAAAGTTTCTTGACATATTTGTACGCTTCTCAGAAAGGCCATTATCAAATCATCCTTGACACTTTCTTGCTTGACACCATTCTTGCCAATCTGGTTCTTCTCTTAATGTCTTTCAGGTTTTGCTTGATTGCTTGACAGGTTCGGTGCTAGCGGGTCCATTTCTTGCACGAGGTATTACACAGTAGTCCGTTCTTTCAGCTTGCCCAAACAGTCCAAACTGAGTATGGTAAGGCAGGAATGAAACGTGGGCCATTAGCATTCCAGCCGTGCTCTATTGCGACATCTATGTATATATATATATATATTATAGCTAGTTGGGCAAACCAAATTAGGTTCGCGTTGGAAGCCAAAGTGCAAAGCTAGCTGCCGACAAACCTTCTTTGTTGAAAGAGAGCGCGCACACACACACACACACACGAACACACATTCTTTACTATACTATCTGATATTCAAAGCTTCCCCCAATCTGCAAAACCCAAATGCTACTACTGCAATTGTTCTGTGGACAAGGGGAGAATTAGCCTTTGCCTCGAATGCACTTGAGAACAGAAGGCTCCTGGTTCTTTTGGGTGCCAATCATAGCAAAGATACCACTTGCATGGACCCAAAATAGCATGGATTAGAAACTTACGAGTACTTATGAGACGGTTGCTCGGCTTAACAAAATCACAAATGCAAAACATGTATATACGGCTAGAAATGCCATGCAATGGATTTGTGTTCAGCTCCAGAGTGAACAATCTTGTTCAATGCTCAGAACAGTGACATGTCTCCAAAGTGGTAGGATTCTATTGAGTTCTATGGTTTCAGGTGGAAAGTTGAGATCAAAGTGGCTCCAAAGTTCCAGGCGAAGAGTTGTGGTCAGGGCTCTAGTCGAACTATTTGGACAGATCTGTAGCAACACAGCTACATGGCCCAAAGGCTGAAGACATCCATCCACAAAAAACATCAAACAACACCGATTCTAAGCCCAAGTACACAGAGAAGTCGCTAAGTGGTGCTAAGTGCTGAAGGAATCTAGATTCACTTGGCCTGCCCACCTGGATGAAATCACGTACTGTATATAAATTCAAAAAAACTTGAAGACATTACTTTGTTTTTGGATCTTTTTGATGGATCGTTTGTCGCCCTTACATACTTTTCCAGTCTGACAAAAGCAAAGAAAGCACGCCTGGTTCAGGTTCCTTTGCAGCCTGTAATGCTGCTTCGCACACACTCATCTGCACAGGGCCTGCAGCAAACAACTTACAGAGACTGTTCAGGAACACTGCAGGATCCAATTGATCTTGAAGCAAGAAAGAACTCCAAATGAGAAGTGACCAAGCAGACCGTGGGCACAGGTGGACACATGGTTGCCAAACACAGCCGGAAACAACGTTCTCGGGCGCACTTAACTTTCACAACAAAAATAGTGTTTGTCACGTATAATTATAGTATAATATGTCTATATCCGCCGACCCCACACCGTGGGGTGAGACGTGACTGTCGATGTTAGCCTTTGCCTTAAGCCTTAGCCTTAATCCTTACCCTTAGCCTTAGCCTTAAACTTAAGCCTTAGCCTTATCCTTAGCCTTAGACCTAGTCCTTAGCCTTAGACCTAGACCTTACCTCCCCTACCCCTCCGGACCCTTGTTGCAGTGACGAAATCCGGTCCTAAAAGCGACCTGATAGCTACGGAATTTGACGGGAAAGCGACCTCATGGCGACCTGGATTGTCCAAGATTCTGCCATCCCAATTGATTTACATCTTGGGGCACCCTCTCGACCCGCGCGGGAAAATAAGCACGGTCCAAAATGGTCCTGGGCTCGAATCCCGGGCTGGTCGCGGCATGGTCCCGGCCAATGCCCTTGCTTTTTCGTAGATTTTGTCACGTTTTCTGTTGGTTTATGAGATTTTCAAAGGCTTTTCTGGCATTTTCCTAGGAATGCTCTAGGCTTTGTCTAGATTTTGTTATGTTTTCGGCTGGATGCTTTTCCAAGAATTTTCTAGCGCTTCCTCTCGTTTTTAGGTTCCCAGATTTCTCCCAAAAATTGGTAACCTTTTGCTAACCTACGGAACTTTCAAAGGCTTTTCTAGCATTTTCCGAGGAATGCTCTAGGCTTTGTCTAGATTTTGTTATGTTTTCGGCTGGATGCTTTTCCAAGAATTTTCTAGCGCTTCCTCTTGTTTTTAGGTTCCCAGATTTCCCACCAAAATTGGTAACCTTTTGCTAGTTCCCGGCCAATGCCCTTGATTTTTCCTAGGAATACTCTTGGCCGCACTTAGATTTGGTTACGTTTTCGACTAGATGCTAGGAATGCTCTAGGCTTTGTTTATTCGGGAGGGTGCTTTTCCAAAAATTTTCTTGCATGTCCTCTTGACTTAGGTTCCCAGATTTGCGCCAAAAATTGTTAACCTTTGGCTATTATGCCAGTGTTCCCGGCCACACACGGGGACAGTCCTCTATCGTGGAACCCACCTTTGCAGTTTGGCCTGCGAGGGGTCCTCGGCGATAGAGTGTGCCTGGACAGAGGGACATAGACGCGGACTTGTCGGTGAGGAACGCATCATCATCACCACGGGGTTCATGCAAGAGATCACGTGGTAAATCTGGGAGGTACCCAAAAAGTCGACTTTTTGGGTACCTGCTTTGGTGGTGATGGGTCTCAACTCTTGGGCAATGATATTTTTTATGGGGTGAAGTGAAGGGTTCAGCATCACGGGGTTCATGCCAGAGATGACGTCCGTGGTAAATCTGGGAGGTAATCAAAAAGTCGACTTTTTGGGTACCTGCTTTGGTGGTGATGGGTTGGGTCACCGGGAGAAACCGATCGATTCAGCACAAGGCCGGGCGCGGAGTCGACTTTTTGGGTACCTGCCTTGGTGGTAATGGGTTGGGCCGCCGGGAGAAACCGATCGATTCGATATGTGTGGCATTTGAATGTACCCTAGACCATGGGCAGCGCCCTGCGGCGCCACAGGCCGCAGAACCCAACGCGTCACGGGGTTCATGCAAGAGCTGACGTCCGATGGTAAATCGGGAGGTACCCAAAAAGTCGACTTTTTGGGTACCTGCTT